CGCACTTCGTTCTACATACATGGCTGCCAAGTGCACGACACGTATAAAATACTTCTACATCCGGTTGTTCCTGATTTCGGTGGAGAGATCACCGGTGCGTAGAGATGGTAGAATCCTAGATGAGCGCGATGGAAAAAGATTACGCGGTTACGTGGATTAATGGGAAGCGTGGTAAAGTAAAATCGTTCGCTCGAGACGAGAGTCGGTGATAAAACGAATCGATCCTTTTTTCCTTTTTTTTTTTTTTTTTTCCTTCTTTTACAATCTACTTTCTTCCTCCTCCTTTTCCAGAATTTCTTCTCAACATTACATTTTAAAAATTTAACGAGGGTATTCAAGAAGGGAACAACGACGGAGGAAAGTGAAAAGGAAACGATGGAAATTGATCGATCCGTGTACGAATAGGTGCGTTGTTCGAAGTGGCGAGCATCTCGTAATTCAACATATTCTCTCCCTTCCTAGAGAATTTATTCGATCGCTTGTTAAAAAAAATGGTAGGAACGTGTCGTTGTATCGTAAGAAATTAGAAAGATAATCTTATTGTAGAGCATTATACGTACATGGTAATCGTAATATATTTTATCAAATGAAATTGTAATATTAATCGGAGAAAGGATCGATTCGATCGTGAATTATACACGTAGTGGTAATACTTCTCGCTCTGCTACGCGACAACTGGACTCGAATATTAAACGAAATTATAAAACATCGTTACTATCGAAACTAAAAATTACGAAATTTATATAAGATAAATTTAATATAATAAGTTAATTAATACAAAATTTAATATAAACTTTATATAGATAAATTAAATAATAGATATTTTAACGTTTCTTTTTCTAGCGATATTTCGACGAATATCCGTTTTGTAACGACACAAATACAATATATCCCCAACTTCTTCCACTTGGCTCGAGATACGACGACCTTGGCGCCGATTCGTCCTTGGACCCGAGGGGAAATCGCGCGAAAGTAATTTTCAGCTCAGCTCCTTTCCTTCTTCCTTCCTTTCTTCCTTCCTCTCCTTCTCCTTCTCCTCCCCTTTTTCTCGCCAGACGACTCATCTAGAAAACTGTTTCGATCCGCGCCAATAAGCACCGAGTTCCGTGTTTCAGCCAAGTGTTTCGTTTCGCCGATTCCGCCTAGAAACTGGCTCGGGCCGCGGCTATAATCTCGAATGCGACTCGCGTTGCAGACACGTCGCAGTTTGAATGTCTCGGAATGTGGAATCCGTGTGTGCACCACTTTCAAACATTCGACCCGGAAAACTTCGAATCGGGTAACAGTAAGTTACCATCGATCGTCTTGTACTCCTCTGTCTATATCGTTCGAAAGGGAATCGTCAAAAGTTGGTTGGATTCTCGATAGAAAGAATCGAGATATATTCGGCGCCATATCGTGTGATGTATCTTTGTCACGTAGAGGGAGTCGTTTTAATCAAACTGAGATATTAACTTGTACAGTTTCGCCGTATCATATATCCTACGTAACGTTTGCTCTCGTTTGACCTCCATTTTCGAGGCCCGTTCGAACGAATTGAACGGTGTAAACAGATTTCGAGATTTGACCGGTTCGATCAATCTCTCCTCTCGCGCGATACGCCCGATTTTTCCTTCTTTTTTTTTGCGTATATTTGTTTAGTTAAAACCGCCCGCAGCGACAATTTCGAGGGTTATGTACCTTTTTCCCTATGGCACGGATCAACGAATCAACGTTCAGCCTTTTGTAAAGGGTTCGCATCCGTTTCAAACTCGCACACTTCGAATCATTGCGGCGCTCGATTCGATACAGTATAATCGGCAACTCTGTGCAAAGTACGCTTATCTTCCTCGATCGAATTAACGATTCGTGCTCGGCTCGTCGAATCGTAATTTGGGAACAGATGGTCCAAAAAAGGCTGGTCCAAAAAAAAAAAAAAAAAGAAAAGAAAGAAAGGGAAAAAACACGATCGAAAGGATCGTGCACATTGTTGCAGAGGAGAAATAGAGAAAGGTTTTTCTCGAAATGCGAAATGAACTCGACGCGTTTCGAAAAATTGAAACCTTGGCAGCGAAATATTATATCGCTCGAGGATCGAATAAAGCTGGAACAATACTTACGCTCTTTTTTCGCGACAACAATGAGGGGGGGAAGAAGGAAAAAAAGAGGAAAGAAATTCCTCTCGGTTGCTAGTTGACCGCGCGAGTTTCAGATACCTGAAGAAGACAGTCTCGACGACAGGCTCGATCTCGGCGATCGACTGGCAACGCGATTGCCCCGCGCTTCGAGGGGAATCAAACGATTCTAATGGACTGGGCAACACGGTTCCGTGAAGCGTACGGCGAGCGTAATAGCGCGAGGCAGTTTGGGAAAAAAGTGGCTCGTTACCGAGAAGTAATTAGCGTACCCAAACGTGACACCGTCTAATAGACGATCCTTTTTCTTCTCTTTTTCGCCGATTCATTGATATGCGGGTTGCAAATAAAGAGGATTCATCGGTACGAGGGGACAAAACAATGGTGAACCAACGTCCGTACGTTCCGTTTCACGATCGAACCGGCCGAAAATGCGGCTCACGCGCATCAAACTGTCCTCTCTCTCTCCCTCCCTCTCTCCCTCTCTCTCTCTCTATTCGAGCGTTTCGGGGATCAACGAATAGGGAGATCGATGTCCAATGAGAATTTTCTCCTCGTGAGAATTTTTTCGAGGAAAAGAAAAAAGAAAAGAAAAGGAAAACCAAAGTCGGAGAAGTTTTAAATTTTCTTTTTTCTGATCGAAGATTTCTCCTTTTCTCTCCCTCTACTCGAGTTTCGGGGATCAACGAATAGATCGATGTCCAATGAGAATTCTCTCCTCGTGAGAATTTTCTCGAGGAAAACGAAAAAAAAAAAAAAGAAAGAAAACCAAAATCGGAGAAGATTTTTAATTTTTTCATTTTTCTGATCGGTGAAGATTTCACGGTAGTAGAGATGGAGGAGGGGGATGGGGAGAGGGATGGATCGATCACGTGGCCGGGAAGAACGCCTATAGTAGAGGCAACGGTCGGCGTACAAGTCCCGGAGACAACGGTGACTAGAGAGGAGTGAGCGAAGAGAGAAGAACTGCCTTATAGGGCAGTTAAGCGCACGGCGGCGACGACGCCTCGGCTCGCCTCATCCACGGTCTCGTCTCGTCTCGTCGCCCGGCCTCGCCTTCGGATCGGATCGGATCGCCCATCGCACTTCACTCGCCCCGCCTCGCATCGCGTCGCGTCTTCTCGCGTGTACACGAACGCCCGTACCGACGGTCCCGCGACCCCGATCCTTCCCAGAACGCGCGCTAGAGAACCGCGTCCGGTTTTTAGCGCGATCTTGAAAACGGAAAACGTTCCTTTTTTCGCCCCAACCTCGGCCTCTGCGCGCCGCTCGGCCTCGTCGTCCTCGTCATCGGCCTGCATATTCCAATCCCCTCTTCTCTCCGTTTATCGATTATTCATCGATTGCACGATCGTAAGGATCGCACGAGGCGTAATGGCGGGGGTGAAGAATCGGTTTAGTTGGAAAAAAGAGGACAATGTATATATATATATATATATTGGATGGATACGTACCCTCGCGAGGAACGCAAGGAGGGAAGGGGGCCGGATCGCTGATCGTTCTCGAGATATCAGTGTTCCCGGAGGAGGTGGGTTCTAGTCGAAGGAAGAGAAAAGGAGCGAAAGGAAGAAGAAAAAGGGTGGATGTACGTACGCACGTACGTGTACGTATAAGACTATAGGACGAACGGGAGAAGACGAACGGGAGAGAAAGAAGGGAAGGGTAGGAGGAAGAGGATGAGAAGGATGAGGTGGCGCGATAGCGGCAAAAGATGAGGAGAGGGATGGGAGATGGAAAACGTGGCCCCAAAGAGGCCAACGATCGAGAATGACCACCCGACGTCCTCTCTAGATAACGATAAATCTCGACACCCCGATTCGACAACCCGTATACGTAATACACACACACACACACACACATATATATATACACACGAAAGCAGTGCGAATTAATCGTTTCGAATCGCGGCGGTTCGTATTTTTGATAAACCCTTTACAGAGATGGGGGTTACGTTAGCAAAATTGGATGCATCTGCAGAGGAGAGTAAATGGATGGATGGACGAAATCCTCGAATGAGTTTCGGAGAATCGGAGACAGAGCGGTGGGATCGGTGGTGGTGACGATGTAGTTTTCGGTAAATGTGTCGAAGCCCACCGACCCGCGATACGGTGTCGTTGCCCTCTTCTGTTCGGTCTGCTCGATGCTGGTTGCACGGCCTGCCGCCGCCGCCGTCGTCGTTGTCGTCCACCTCTCCTCCTCCTCCTCCTCCTCCTCCTCCTTTCTCATCCCTCTCTCGTGCCCAAACCCTCCCTCCCCGATAATCGCCTCTCTTTCCTCTCATTCTCTCTCTCGCGACGCGTATATACGAGAGCCGCCGCCGCTGCTGCCGCTGCCGCCGCCGCCGCTGCTGCCGGTGCCGCTGGTGCCGCTGGTGCCGCTACCACCGCCGCCGCCGCCGCCGCCGCCGCCGCCGCCACTGCTACGAGCGAGTAGGTTATCCCTGTCCCCTCCGCGGGACCATCCTCTTATTCCCACTCCTCGGTTCGGAGCACCTGTCGTGCCAGGGAGTTCGGCGCGTTAGGGGCGCTCGCCGGAGGTAAGTAGACGGCAGGTTATCAGTCCGCAGAACATCTTCGTCGCGAACGGAACCGTAAACCAGTGTGGTTGCGCATTCTTTCCGTAGCGGAGCAACGGAGAGGACGAAGGAGGAGGAGGAGGGGGAGGAGGAGGAGGAGGGGGAGGAGGAGGAGGAGGAGGAGGGGGAGGAGGAAGAAGAGAAGGAGGAGGGACGGAGATAGAGTGAGGGCGCAGGGTGGAAAGAAAGACAGAAGGGGGGAGAGTGAGAGAGAGGGAGGGAGGGAGGGAGGGAAGGGGGAGAGAGAGAGAGAGAGAGGTATGAGAGGAAAGGTGGAGGTAACAGTAGTGGAGGAGAGGACAAATTGACGAACGTACGTCGCGGATCTTTTGGCGGATACGCTACTTGTCGTCGTCGTCGTCGTCATCATCGTCGTCGCCGTCGTCGGTGTTGCCGTTGCCGTTACCGGTACAGCCACGCACTGCCGTTATCGATGCTCAGTCGAATCGGCTACGATCCAACGGGAGTTTCGTATTCGTTCTCTCTCGCTGTTGTATCGCGCAACCGATATACATCCTTCTCCCTGACCTGACGATCTCTTCTTCCCTTTTCTTCTTTTTTCCTTATTTTTTTTTTTTTCCATTCTCTTTTCTCTTCTTTAATTTATTCGCGCGTATTTATTTATTTATTTTTTTTAACCCATCCTTTTCCCCTTTTCCTTCCTTCTCTCCTCCTATCCGTCGATCGTTCGATCGTCCCATTCGACTTTTCGCGACGATCGAAGAAAATATAATTATCGCGAAAGAATAATTATTCGCCAATGTGCCGGGCGGGAGCTACGACGATGATCGGTCTCAGTCGCGCGACGAACGCGATCCGATCCGTGTAAAAAATCGGCATATATATATACATATACATATACATATATATATATATATATATCGTCGGGTGAATAATAAAATAATTTTTTGAGTGTTGAGTGACGACGAATCTTGCGCGTCTTTCGTCTCTCTCTCTCTCTGTCGGGGAGAATCGAATTCGGGGGGAAGAGAGGAGGGGCGATAAACGATCTGCGCTAGTAGATAATAGATCTACAGCACAGCTGCGATTTTTCGACGCGGGATCCAAGGAACGGAAGTGAGCGGAAGGAAGGAAGGAAGGAAGGAAGGAAGGAAGGAATCCGAGAAGAGGATTTAAGCACGAACGAAGTTTAACGAAGCTTGTCGTTAGAGGAAGAGAGAAGCGGGGTTGATAAGGCGATAAAGCGGCTGCCGGGATGCGGCACGAGGAGCCGCTAAGCTGCAGCTAACACGTGGCGACTCCACGCGCACTCCGCGATCCCTAGGTGAGTCCCTAATATTATAATAATAATAATAACAATAATAATAACAATAATAATAGTAATCTCTCTCTCTCTCTCTCTTTTGCAATTCCAATTCGAATTATTCGAATCGTCAGTACTTGGAAGTAGCTGGGTTGAACGAAGGGGGGACACGCGAGGGGGGCACGGTTCCTCTTTTCGGGTTTGAAACGGGGGTTTCCCCCATTGAAGCGGGAGGGCCGCCTGGCTGTTGGGACAGTTAATGCGAAGCCGGGGCCGATGATCCGGGGCTGTGGATATAAACGCGCACGCGGATAGAGTGGACCACGGCGAAACAGGCAGGCGGATAAGGTTCTCGTACGAGGAAATCGGGTGGGGAGGGAATGTGGTCGGTCCGCAGGCAAGGAGGCCCTCACCAAATTTTCGTGCCGCTGGTCTGGGCGCAATGTGCCTCGAATCTCCACGTGCTTCCACAGATCCTCTCTCCTCCTCGCTCCCTCTCGTATCCTCTTTCTCTCGCTCATTTGCCATCTTCAATCGCGAACGCACCGAGCCACCATTCCCGCGGGCCACTCTCCTCTTCTCTCCCTCTTATCTCTCTCTCTCTCTTTATCCTCTTCTTCTTCTTCTTCTTCTTCTTCTTCTTCTTTCTTATTTCGTATCCGTCTCTCATTCTTCCTCTCCTCGAGGATCAAACCGCTTCGCGGAGCACCGAGTTAGCGCATTCCAACGAACACTCGTACCCGTCGCTACTTGCTACTTCCGTCGACGAATACGTCGTTTGATTCCTTCCTTCCTTCCTCGAGAGGAGATTAAGAACGACGAAAATAATCGGATAAATTAATTTAATTCCGTGCGAACGACGCCCACGAAACGCTGGTAAATGCTCAAAATTTTCATCTAAGAGAAAATGTTTTTAACGAGAATGTTTGAAAAAAGGGGGAGGAAAAGTTAAAATTAACCATATTCCAAAGAGCGGGGACGATTCTTTGATCAATACGAATCTTGTTAATCGCGACGGATAACCGGATTCTCGAAGAATCGATGTTTCATTCGCGGCTATTATGCGAGCCCTGCAAAGGAGGGTCGACTAGGGTGACCGATTCGGGTCCGCTCGATACACGGACCGGCTCTCGAATATAACGCGCGTGCATAACATGCTAAAGAAGGAGCCCGTACACCTGGCTACTACACCTGCACGCTACACCCGAAAAATTCGTTTCGAAGATACGCCGATTATCGATTTTGTATCATCCTCGGCCTAATTACGATCGGCTCCCTTGCCCAAAACTCTCGAATTCATTTGATCGAATGGCATATACCTGTTTAACGAAACTTAGATCTATTCCAGTTAAAAAAGTTTTATGTTTTTCAAATGTGATGCAAATGTGACACGGTCGACCGATGATCGATCGTTCGATCGAATAGAATTATGATAATAAAAGTTCCAAAGTTTAGCTTCTTTGAAACGTTATACCTACGATCGAGTCGAATGATCGAGTCGAATGATATCCAAGATGTAAAGATTGTGGAAGAATGGCGAAACGTTCGAATACGCGGGGGAAAAAAGCTGGAAACGGAACTGTGAGAACCGGATCTGATTAAATGGTTTAAAAACAGTTGATAAAAGTCACCTGTAAGTCTTTAGCATCCTCGGTATATCGTCGTAATCTTCGTTAGAAACTCTCCTGTTTTTTATTTGTATAACGTTAAATTGACCGGTTCGATGATCGAACGGCGCGCTTAGATCGCGACAATGCGGCGCACGACGAAGCGGAGGCCACGTGTGTGTGTGTGTGTGGGTTGATCGAAACGTTACGAGCTCATCAACGGCAAGGAGAAGCATCGATAAAGAAGCGCGACCCAACTTGCTTACTTGGCCCAACTTAGCCGCGGCTCGTGTTCTTTTTAAAATTTGCATCGAAATAAGTCGGCGAGCGTCCGTTTGCCCATCGCCGCCCCGTCGTTGGCGGGCAAAAGGAGTACGCTAACGGTTTTCGAACAGGTGTCATCTCTTTTTTCCGCGCTTCATGAAATATTCACCAGGCATACGATCACGTTGGTACCAAGCGCTAATCCGTACGTTGTACGGGGGCATTCAACCTCCTGCTGGCCTGCCGCAGCATTGGGATCACGCCCGACATAACTTTGCATTCGTTTGCCGATGTAATTTCTCCTCCGTGCATCGATATTATCATACCATCGCTTCGTCTACTCTAACCAAGACGCGAAAAGAAATAACGATGTCGCGACACAACCGACCTTTTCCTCCTTCCCTTCGCGCGAATTTCGTGGAAAGAAACACCGTTGCGAATACTCCTTCCTTTCTCTCTATTCACTCTTTCGCCGAACGAACGAACGAAATATTCGAGTCGATCTTTTTCGCTTAACCTAACCGCTTTAACTGTTCGAATAACGCTGTAAACCGCAGGCGACGAATTTTCACGCGGCATTCGCGCGGCAAACGGCGAAAACGGTGAATATCGATGGATCGATCTGTATTCGCGTGTGTATCGCGAACGGTTATCGGTTTCTGGCCGGCCGATAGCCATACTCTATAATGCTTCACGCATCAAGCGTCGCGAACACTGGTCGAAAGCGTAATCGGGGCAGCGGGGGGGTTGCGCGGAACGGGTGCGTGCACGTATCGTTTACAACGGACGATTCGGAACGGGCGCGTGTGGCGCACTCTCCCGTACGAAAACCGGTATCAGCGTAGATCCGTCCCATTATCCATTATCCGCCACGGTGTTACGTTCGTTCGGTATCCGCGCTTTCGCTACAATCCGGCACACTATTGAAAACTATTCGTTAATGCGATACGCGACTCTACGCGTTGTCATACACGCGATTCACTCGCTCGTTTCTGTATTCCGTAGCCACGATGGGGGCGAGGATTCTCTCTCGTTCATATTTCTCGACTCATCGTGGCCGACTCGCCACGCTGAGAGATGAAGAGAAAAAGAAGTCCGTTTCGTAGAGAAACGGATTAATGGGACGTGGACACGGAGTGGAAACGGAGCACGTTACGTGGTCGTAGTAGCGTTAACCCAGTTTCTTTGTTATTTCCCTCTTCGTCCCCCCCTTCCCTCTCCCCCTCCCCTCCTCCCGGTTATTCCGTAGCCAGGTCGAACGAGGATAATGATGATTCGCGACAGCTGTCGGCTGTGCGGTAAACGATTCGAGCCTCGACACGCCGAGCCGCTTTTAGAATTCGTTCGACCGTACTATCCTGAATTTCAACAGACGATCGAGCTCCTCGTTTCGAACGGCTCGTTTTCCTTCGTTTGCACGAATATCGCGTATATCGTGCGTCCGATCTATTCGATCGGATCGTGCCGAAAGAGAACGGTGGAGGGGGGAGGGGGAATATAACGTAACGCGGCACGATACCATACGAGTCCAATAACGCCAGCCAAAGAATTTCCTCCTAAGTTTTATCGCGAATCAACGTCGCGTCCCGGATGCTGCGAGCTTTCCATCCTTTACGGGAAGGACATATGTAGTACGCTTCATCGCGTACATAACCACGATACGACTATAGTAATCGTAAATTCTCTTGGTCCGCCACAATGAACCTACTTCTTCCTCCGCATCTCGACGATCTCTCTCCGCGAATCAAATTGATTTTCACCCATTAGCAAGGAGGAAAGTACTTACTCGGCTCGATCGATACCGGCTTGAGAACAGCTGACGGATATATACATATACATACATATATATATATATATATATAAAAGAGATGCGGGTTGACGGTGGTGGTGGTGGTGGTATTGGAATTTCGTAACGCGATGTCGTCCTCTTCCCCTCCCTCTCTCTCTCTCCCCTCCCCTTCCCCACTCTACTCCCCTAGAGAAACGAGAACTCGTCCGGTATCGCCGCCACTTTCCTCCATTCACGATACTCTCTTATCTGGCCCGTGTGTACGGGGCCTTATTTACATAAAACGTACACGTACACGCGAATGCATTCACATGCATTCGAATGCACGGGGGAAGGGGATGGGGAGGGGGAGGATGTGCGAGCTCGTGCAAGCTCGAGCACGCGTAATACGCGGCTGCCACGCAGCCCTCGAGACGTAGAGACGCGGACGTAGCGCACGCGATAATTGCCGTTCCGATGTCGTCCGTCCGATGTCCTCCTCGTCGCCGCGACGCGCGATCACTGGGTCGCATTAACCGTTAATGTTAACGCAACCGATCTCGACCGCGGTGAATGGATCGTGAAGTCGTGATTACTCGAACTCCGGTGTACACGGAATCTCCCGCTTCTCTCTCTCTCTCTCTCTCTCTCTCTCTCTCTCTCTCTCTCTCTCTCCCCTCCCCTTCGTACGCCACGCTCCACTCTCTTCCATCTTGCCAAGCGATAATAATTCTCCGACGCTGGGTATCGAGGCAACAAGTCGCGACCGGACACGTTTACGTAGTCCGAAGGTCACCGGTTGACCGGAACGGATTTATTTCGGATAGTTTCGTCCATTTTGCCGGGGAAAGGATTAATCTGTTACGTCTATCCATTATTATTATTTTTTTTTAATAAATCTACGTTACAAGCCAACAATTTTCTCTCTCTCTCTCTCTCTCTCTCTCTCTCTCTCTCTCTCTCTTTCTCTATGAAAAGGCATATATATAATTCGATAACTGAAGAAAATCGATCGAAATAAAAATCCGCGATATATTGGATATTCAATAATGACGAATATAGTATGAATTATTTATTATTCTTAGCTCTTAGAATTTTTTCTCTCTCTCTCTCTCTCTCTTTCTCTATGAAAAGGCATATATATAATTCGATAATTGAAGAAAATCGATCGAAATAAAAATCCGCGATATATTGGATATTCGATAATGACGAATATCGTATGAATTATTTATTATTCTTAGCTTTTAGAATTTTCTCTCTCTCTCTCTCTTTCTCTATGAAAAAACATATATATAATTCGATAACTGAAGAAAATCGATCGAAATAAAAATCCGCGATATATTGGATATTCGATGATGGCGAATATCGTATGAATTATTTAT